TTAGAGCACTGTGTCATCCACTGTGTGTGCGCTGTGTTGTACCATTAGAGCACTGTGTCATCCACTGTGTGCGCTGGGTCATCCCGTTAGAGCACTGTGTCATCCACTGTGTGTGCGCTGTGTCATTCCGTTAGAGCACTGTGTCATCCACTGTGTGTGCGCTGCGTCGTCCCGTTAGAGCACTGTGTCATCCACTGTGTGCGCTGAGTCGTCCTGTTGGAGCACTCTGTCATCCACTGTGTGCGTGCTGCGTCGTCCCATTAGAGCACTGTGTCATCCTATGTGTGCGCTGCGTCGTCCTGTTAGAGCACTGTGTCATCCCGTGTGTGCACTGGGCCGTCCCGTGTGCGCACTGTGTCATCCCGTGTGTGCGCTGGGTCGTCCCGTTGGAGCACTGTGTCATCCACTGTGTGCACTGGGTCATCCCGTTAGAGCACTGTGTCATCCACTGTGTGCGCTGAGTCGTCCTGTTGGAGCACTCTGTCATCCACTGTGTGCGTGCTGCGTCGTCCCATTAGAGCACTGTGTCATCCTATGTGTGCGTTGCGTCGTCCTGTTAGAGCACTGTGTCATCCCGTGTGTGCACTGGGCCGTCCCGTGTGCGCACTGTGTCATCCCGTGTGTGCGCTGGGTCGTCCCGTTGGAGCACTGTGTCATCCACTGTGTGCACTGGGTCATCCCGTTAGAGCACTGTGACATCCACTGTGTGCGCTGCGTCGTCCTGTTTGAGCACTGCGTCGTCCCGTTTGAGCACTGCGTCGTCCCGTTGGAGCGCTGCGTCGTCCACTGTTTGAGCACTGCGTCGTCCACTGTTTGAGCACTGCGTCGTCCCGTTGGAGCGCTGCGTTGTCCACTGTGCGCACTGCTCTCCCTATCTTACTCTGTCTGACTTGGTTAATGGGAGCTGCAGTTAGGGGCAAATAAAGGAGAGTGTGCTGAGACCTGGGCGTGGCAGACCATCCACTCACTCCCACTGTGATCACATCCCTATTTGCCCCGTATCAGTGATATTTAGTAGTAATATATTAGGTTGTAGGAAAAGTCAGGACACACTTTTGCAAAGAAAAACACAGAAATTGCTTCATGATTTTTTCTAATGACTTAATATGTTTCCTATTGTTAATTATTAGTATTATTCCCTTTATCGCTCAAAGGATCTCAGTTTAGACTATAAATTCATATGCTCACTCTTATTAAAAGGGAATCAAAATTTGGGTTTTAGCAGTCTATATGCCTGGTTAATTTCCTAATTTGTTTGTTTGTTTTTGCTTTTAATTTTGTTAGGGAGCATGTGCACTGCCCTGGAGGTAGAGGGGAGGGAGAGGAAGTGAGAAAGCATGCCCCATGGAGAACGGCCATGCTGCAACCCTGTCCTCCCCTCTCCTCTCAGGACTTCAGGTATGCAAGCACACGTGCCTGGCATGTTTCTCCTGGCAACGGGTCCAGGACTTGAGCTGCACCATTGGCCATGTGGGATCCATGCTGTTGTAACCATCACACCACAACGATTTCCTGGTGTATTCACCCTTTGACATCCTTTGGCATTGTCTCCAAATTCTCCTCCCATTCTCAACCCTTGCTCCTGAGCAAATGTGTCCCCAGAGGGGACTGAGGCCTGGCTCAAGGGTGGGGTCGGTGGAGGGAAGATGAGGTTCCGGGCTGATGGGGCAGATGCCCACCGGCACTGGAGTGGAGTATGTGCTCAGTGGAGGGCTAGGTTTGGTGGCCCGAGGTAGTGGTCCATGGTGTGGATGTGGAAGGGAAAGTGTGAGAAGACGGGTTGGGAGCTGAGTCCCTGTCCGCGTCGGTGAGGGTGAGTGGGCTGGCTGGCACAGGGAGGACTCCGAGCTTACCCTGTGCTGCCGAGCTCAGCTTGTTGGAAGCAGGCGCATCAGGTTTGCATGAAGCCGCGAACACGGTGTCAGAGTCACTGGGGGATAAAGCATTGCTGTGAGTCAGGAGACAGCCTGAGACGCGGGGCACTGAAGGGGGGAGGGTACCAAAAGGAGCCGATGAGAGCTTCAAGGTTGGGGCTAGGGGCCAGGGACCAGGCAGCTGGAGCCACATGGCAAAGGTCCTGGGTTCTCATCCTGAAACCTCTCTGAGCGGGCCAGGCACATGCGTGTTTGCCCATGATCTGGGCCAGCTGAAGCCAGGGGTGGAATATGGACGAAATCCCTGTTGGGGATCTCTCTCTCTCCCTCTGTCTCTCTGTCTGTCTGTCTGTCTCTCTCATTGCTCTCACAGGAGAAATAAATAATAAAAGTTAGGAGGAAAAAGCATGGGAATGCCATAGTTGCCCTTATCCGTGATTCTCTTCTCACAGTTTCCATTAAGCACAGTGCAGTAAGACAGTCAGAGAGCGGAGAGACCAGCCACTCCACGTTTCCACGCGTCCCGTTTCACGTGGCCTGTTTCGCCGTTAGTTCCCCACGCGTCCCGTTTCGCGTGTCCTGTTTCGCCGTTAGTTCCCCACGCGTCCCGTTTCGCGTGTCCTGTTTCCTCGTTAGTTACTCACAGCGTCCCGTTTCGCATGGCCTGTTTCGCCGTTAGTTAATCACCGTGTCCCGTTTCGCGTGTTCTGTTTCGCCGTTAGTTAATCATGGTGTCCTGTTTCGCGTGTCCTGTTTTGCCGGTAGTTACCCACCATCCCGTTTTGCGTGTCCTGTTTCGCCGTTAGTTAATCACAGTGTCCCGTTTCGCGTGTCCTGTTTTGCCGGTAGTTAATCATGGCGTCCTGTTTCACGTGTTCTGTTTCGCCGTTAGTTAATCACCGTGTCCTGTTTCGCGTGGCCTGTTTCGCCGCTAGTTCCCCACGGTGTCCCGTTTCGCGTGGCCTGTTTCGCCGTTAGTTACCCATGCGTCCTGTTTTGCGTGGCCTGTTTCGTTGTTAGTTGCTGTTCCCCTCTTTCTGTGCCTGGCCTATAGAGTAAGCTACATCACAGGCACATGTGCACACGAAGACGTGTGGTTCGGGCAGGGTTCGGCGTTCCCTGGGGTTTCAGGCATCCCCTCGGGGTTTTGGCATGTCTTGGCAAAGGGGGCTGCCAGAGGCCTCTTCCACTGATTTGCGTCTTAGGTCTTGATTTAAATGAATTACACCTACTCGGCATTGTGTTTTCGAACTTCACTCACTGGGGTCTCTTTCTCTTGGACTTTAGGAGCTGGTGGGGAGTAACCCTCCGCAGAGGAACTGGAAGGGCATAGCGATCGCACTGCTCGTCATCCTGGTCATCTGCTCCCTGATCGTCACCTCGGTCATACTGCTGACACCAGGTACGTGCGTTCCCCTGGGAGAAGCCCGACGCCGTCAGGGAGAGAGCGTGCTTTACCTAAGGAACGACAGGGGCCTGATTTAGTTGTCTCAGGTTCTAATTCTCAGGGCGTCCCACGGTAAAATGATGAACATGCTCTCAATGAAAACATAGATTCTGTTCTTTGACTTTGTCCATGCAGTTGCTGACCAGGTGGACTTCCCTGCCGTATGTTAACATTCACATGTGTGTGTTCTTGCCTGATGGACTTACAGACAGTGGCATTATAAATGCAGCAGTTTTATACATCTATGAGATTCCTGGATATCATATCGAGGATGGATTAAGAAAAATATTAACTAAGTATAAGATATTCACTGGGTAGTGCTGATGAAATGAACCATAAATCAGAGCCAGAAATACGTTGGGAAAAGAAATATCAAAGAAAAGACATACCAAAATTTGCAGCAAAGACCCACCTCAAGTACAGACACGTATGTGCACTCTTAAGCACGAAAGGAGTTAAGGGCAGAGAGATTCGCTTTCTGGGAAAGTTCATGAGAAATAACACGTATATTGGGCCTGGTGGAGTGGTGAGGATTTAGCAGCCAGAGAATGATGGGATTGGGGACAGAAGTAACTGCATGGGAGTTATCACAGGGAAACACTGTGACATAGAAAAAAGACATGCATCTGTTACACTTCAACATACTGATGGAGGTGATCGTTAGCTATTAGACACCTATTAGTGTAGGTGTGAAAAAAACTAGTTTCAGTCCTCGGAAAATATATTGCATTGGTATTAGACTCAGGATGTGAAAAGAAGTAGATATTGCAATGTAAAAATTTTTTTGATAGGTACAAAAAAATGCGAGTGAATTCTGATGTATGTGTAAATTCTTGCCTGAAAATTTAAATGAAGAAAGAGCAATCTCTAGCTTAATGCAAAGCTCGATAAAGGTATGCCGAGAACACGACAGACCAATACCCCTTATGAAGATGAACACAACAATCCTTAATTAAATTTAGCAAATGGAACCCAGCAACATATAAAAAAGGATGTATATCTGTTACCAAATCAGATGTATTCCAGGAAAGAACATTTGACTTAAGGTGTGAAAAATCAGTGCAATATACCCATATAGTAAAATTAAGTACAAAAGCACATGACCACGTGGACAGATACAGAACAAGAGTGTGACAAAATCCAGAATCCCTTTTCTTTTTTTTTTTTTTTTTGTGAGAGGTTTTTGCTATAGGGCGCGTGCGCTCGCCAGACAGACAGAGACAGACAGAGAGATAGAAAGCAGGAAATCACCCCCCAGGGGGGATGGCCACGCCGCAATCCCTTCTCCTCCATTCTCCTCTCGGGATCTTGGGCACGCACGCACACGCGCCCGGCGTGAGTTTAAGCCACCGGGTCCGGGACTCAAACCGCGGTCGACTACGTGGGAGTCCAGCGACATAGCCATTACGCTAACTGCTGGTCCCCAGAATCCCTTTTCTGATCAAACATTCGAGCTAGGAATAGAAGGGGACATCATCAGGCTGCAGAGGAAAACCGGTGGGAGACTGCACAGCTGGCAGTAAACGCAGGGTGAAAGGCGTACGCCCCCCTCCTACAGTTCAGAACAAGACCGGCTACCCACGCTCAGTGTCTCTATTTAACGGCACGCCGGAGGTTCTGCCCAGGGTGAGGGAGTAAGAAAAAGAAAAAAGAACAGAAACACATCAGATAGGAAAGAAGGAAATAAAATTATATTTATGAAAGACATGAAATTGTATACAAAAATAAAACCTATTATAAATGAATCTAGCAAGACAGACGATATAAAAATCCATACACAAAATCATTTGTATTTCTGTACCCTAGCAATGAACTCTCAAGAAAATAAATTAAGAAAAAAATTTACATTGATAGTTTAAAAAAAATAAGATATGATACTCAGGCATACATTTAACAAAGAAGTCAAAGATTTAATACCAAAACTACAAGACAAAATTGAAATAAATTAAGAAGGCTAGTCCATGTAATGGATTAAAGATGCAATATAGTTAACATGGCAACAAATGATCTAACCCAGTTTCCCTGTCCTCTAGTCAGACTCTGTGGCTCTCAGAACCCCTGTCACGATCCCAGCTGCCTTCATTGAAGAAATTATGAGCTGATTCTAAAATTATAAGACAGTGTGAAGGATTCAATAAACAAAACAACCTTGAAAAGAGCAATGAGAAAATTTACACCTCCTGATTTTAAAACCTACTGCAAAGCTGCAGTGATCAGACCGGTGTAACACTTGCATAAGGACAGAGGTCTGTCCCAGCAGAACAGAATGAAGAGCTTGTAAATAAACCCCACTCCTCCATAGTCAGGTGACTTCTCACAGAAATGCCAAGTTTATTTGACCGGGAAAGAATCATCTCTTCAACATTTGTGCTGACAACAGGATGCTGACTTGCAGAGAAGGCGGGTGGACCCCTAACTCTCATCACGTATAAAAATTAACTCAGTGTGGATCAGTGACCAAAATATAAGAGCTAAAACTGAAACGTCTTGGAAGAAAAGATAAGAGTAAATCTTCGTGACTTCAGAGCAGTTTCTTTGATATGATCCAGAAGTGCAGTCAACCAGAGAAAAATCAGATAAATTGGGTGTCATCCAACTTGAAATCTTTTGGGTATCAAAGAAAGTAAAAAGCCCACAGAATGAGAAAAAAAAAATCGTAAATTATATTGGATCGTCAGAAAAGTCATGACACATTTTTGCATAGAAAAACATAAAATATATCCTGACTTTTCTGACAACCCAAAATAGCCAATAAATGTCTAGTATCCTAAATACTTTTTAAAAAAAACTCTTAAAGATCAAAACAAACGGACAAATAATTCAATTTAGAATTGGGCAAAGGACTTGAATTCACATTTCTCCAAATAAATAGAAATGCCAGCAAGCATGAAAAGATGTTCAGCGTCATCAATACTGGGGAAATGAAAATCGGAACTGCAAGAAAATACTAGGTTGGCTATGAAAACAGAAATAAACAACACCCAGAAGATGACAGGTGTTGGTGAGGGTGGGAGAACACGGAACCTCCATCCTGGCAGGGGTATAAAATGGCAGTGTCTGTGGGAAGTAGTTGGACAGTTCCTCAAAAAGTTGAACATGGAGTTACCACATTACCTGGTAATTCTATTTCTAGGCCTAAAAACAAATGGTCATAGAGAAACATAACATTTCTTTTGGGGGTGACGAAAATGTTCTGAACTTTGCGAGTGGCGGTCACAATGGAGACACACTGAACTGTACACAGTAAGAAGTAAACTTTGGGGCCAGCGAGTGACCTGGTGATTAAGGCGCTGGACTTCCACATGGCCTGCCGTGGTCCGATTCCTGGACCTGGTGACTTGAAACTCACTCAGGGCACATGTGTGTGTGCCCAAGATCCCAAGAGGAAAATGGAAGAGAAGGGACTGGGGTTTGGCCATCCCCCTGGGGAGTGATTTCTTACTTTCCTTTCCCTCTCTCTGTCTCTTTCTGTGTCTCTGGCAAGTGCACATGACCTATAGTAAAAATCTCTCTGAAAAAAAAATAAAAAAACAAAAACAAAAAGCTATGTAGAAGTAACGCCCTCCCCTGCCCCCAATGTAGCAGCAGCAGCAGTGCAGTCACCAAACCATCCTGACTGCCCACCGAGGTTTCGGCAGCTGCCAGGATGTGACCTCTTCAACCCTAGGCACGCCTGCATGGTACCTTACTGTCAGATTACACTTTTTACAAATTTCCCATATTTTTTTCAAAAGTTAACAGATCAATTAAGACATAATTCATGTGCCATAAAGTTGACTTCCTTTATTCTTTTTTCCTTTTTTTTTTTTTTTTAAGCAGAAAAGTGAGAAATCATCCCCCAGGGGCAATAGCTATGCTGCAGTCTCTTCTCCTTCATTCTCCTCTTAGGGTTTTGGGCATGAACACGCACACACCAGGCATGATTTTCAAGTCAACGGATCCAAGGTTCAAACCACGGTTGGCCATGGGGCTCCTTCCACTACACTGTCACTACCAGCAATGGGGTGGGGGGTGTCTTGAGTAGCTCCGAAATTATGTCCTCAGACCCACCCCTCCACATGCTCAACTCTGCACCTGGCAGAGAGGCCCCGCTGCCTCCATGGCAGAGGAACCGCGTCACCACATTCCCCCCAGTGCAGTTTCTGTGGCCCCCAAGCAGCCTCAGAGCACTCGTCTGCAATAAACAGAGAACAGTACTGCCAACTGCTATCTCGGAACGTGGACAGCTGGTTGTCAGGGGCAACAGCGAAGGCTGGAGGCACCTGCTGGCTCTTGGGCTCTAGCAAAGGCTTCTTTTGTTTTTCCATTAAAGTAAAGCTGCAGCTTCGCCCCCTGGCTTGTGGTCCTTGGTTGTGCTCCTTGGGGTGAGAGTTCCAGGGCGAGGACCATTCGATATGCCGTCCCAACTCCAAGTGGGGCCCTGGGCTGGCTCCGGGTGGTTCTGTGCATCCACAGGCCTACACATTGAGAACATGTCCTTTTCAGATCTGTCATTCATTTCTCCCCTGCAGTGCAGCAGGGTGTATGTCCTGGCGTCCGAAATTCCGCCGGGCAGAAGGGGATGTCCAGTCACTCTACTTGCCACGGCTCCACAGCCGTCTCAAAGCTGCGCACATTCAGACCGACCTTATGTAACCCATAGTGCCTATCAGTTGATCCAACCTCATGGCCCTCTGTCAGGAGCTAAGGGACATTGTGTAAAATGCTGAGTGAAACATAGAAAGGAAGACTGGGATGCTCTGCGTACAATTTAGAGTCTGCTTCAAGGCAAAGCATATGCAGGGCGAATTCCACAGTGTGGCTCAGTAAGCAAACATAGAATAGAAATCATGAGACAGATGGGGCTGAGCGATTCGAATTGCTTAGGAACGAGCATTGCCTGGTAGGCTCCGGGCATCGGAAGGGCGGGAGGAGCTTCCGTGGCCTGCCGGACTGTGCTCAGGCTTGAGGAGCGG